CCGATAGACGGCTGGCCTTCATCGCCAGTGTCTCAGGCACTGCGCGTGCTCCTCTACCTTACCTTCTCCCTCCCCCCACCCCCCAACGCTCCTCCGTCCTCGACATCATCCAACGCTCCCTGATCGGAACACCGACTCCGTGATCCTTCCTGTGTGTCCGTACGCCGCTTGGTGCAGTCTCCAGCAGTCTCCGCGTTTCCCCACAATTCCCTGATCTCTGGGATACACGCACGCACTTCTGGTTGGTACGTGCACCTACGTCGAATCATCGCTGTCGTATAGAGAAATTAAGACCCGCGTGACTGATGCCCTGCGGATTTTACAGTTTGAATTCTCCAACCGACCACACGTCGATCCTTCCGCTTCAATTCTTACAGCTCGAAGCAACACACAGGTTGAGGGCAAATGCCAGAACGCACTGTCTGTGCTCAGCAGTCCGACGATAGTTCAAACCCCCCATCACTGCCACTACACTTCCCCGCAACCACTGCTCTGTCAATCGTCACCTCTTCTGCCTCTTCCGCCACCTCCTCCACTATAACCACAACCACCACCACTGCCGCATTCACCGGCGTCACAGCGAACTCTGCAAATTCTTCACAGTCTTTGAAAAGTCGGCGACATGATATGAACACGCATATTCCGCACCGCCCTACACTCAGCTGGAGCTCATCCTTCTGCTGTACCCCTGCAACTCGCACAACGTCCGATTCTGTACTGTCCTCCACGAAACGCCCCTCCTCCGACATCGACCTTGCGTCACCAAAGTCTACTAGAGGTACTACACTCCCTGTTTGACACGGCTGCTTATCGTGCGGAGACGGGTCGGTGGAACTATACTTTGACCTACGTGGCCGAACCTTATGGAACATGGCGCTGACTATGACAGTGTTATCGCCCCCGCCGTTGAAGATGGCCCGCACAGCGAGCTACCCAACCATGGAGTCCTTCACGTGCCCAGACAATTTTGCCGTTGTCACGTCGTCGGTATATCGCAGCAGCTTCCCGAAACCCGAGAACTTTTCGTATATCAAGAAGCTGGGGTTGAAGACGATATTGTGGGTCTCCTCCTGATGCGGTGTTTTCCACGGAACTTGCTATGTGGTCATTGTCATGGCTCTTGCTTTACTTCGCTGCGCTCGCGAAGTCTAGTGTGCTGACTGGTAGCGGCTAGAACATTGGTCCCCGAACCATATCCCGAGGAGAATGTGGCCTTCATGAAGGAGAACGGCATCACACATTACCAGATTGGCATGCCGGGGAACAATAAGGGGAATCCGTTGGCAGATCGTGAGTCCTCCTGTTCGCCTTATGCATGGATTATGGTTCGCTGACAGTGACGCAGCTCAAGTGCCAGATGACAAGATCAGCGTTGCTTTGAGCATCATTTTTGATCGCGCGAATCACCCCATCTTGATCCACTGCAACAAGGGCAAGGTATGCGTCTTCATGTTCTTGTGTTTCTCCTCTCTTTCCTTTCCCGCCACGTGTGTTTCGCCACACGCTGGTGGTGCTACCGATTGCATTGTGCACACTCCCCGTCCAGCCTCTGCAGCGGCGACTCGGCTGGACTATCCTCTAACACTCACACCTCCTATCATGTTGCTTGACACACATTTGCTAACCCTCCACCTCACAGCACCGCACCGGTTGCGTCGTCGGCTGCCTCCGCCGTTTCCAGGGGTGGTCCGTTCCCCTCGCCATCGAAGAATACAGGAAATACGCGGGAATCAAGGCACGGTCACGTGATATGGCGAAAATCGAGAATTATAGCCTTAAGCAGTGTTGGGAGACCGCGAAGGAGGGAGGGTGGGTGCCCACGGCGTCGTTGGTGCAGGAGGATGAAGAGGAGGAGGTCGAGACGGGCGTTACGTTGATGGTGACGGCGCCAGTTGGGATTAAGGCGCAGTAGGCGGGAGTGGTGGTGGTGGTGGGTGCGGTGTTGAGAGGGGTGTTGGGTGGTGATTTGGGGTCGAGTGGAATGGGACGGTTGGATTGAGACTTGGACGAAACAAACCGATCGATCGATCGTCTATCCCACGCCTACCATAATATCATCGACCGTCGCCATCATCGATCATCGACATCGACAGCAAAAATAATCCTCCTTCACACTCACACTCATCATACCGTTAACCGACCAACCATTCGTTTTCCGGTTCTTTTCTTACCATTCTTTAGCCATTCTTGCGGGTGGGGGAGATTTCTACATTTTTCCTTTTTCTTTCTTTCTTTTGTTGGGTTGTTTTCCTGGGGGCATTGGGGCACGCATGAGCATTCACACAAGTCGCATTTCGGGTTTTTTTTTTCTTTCGGATGTTGGTGAGAATTGGAATCGGGGGTCGGAGGTCGGGGGTTGGAGACTGGTGTTGTTACTATCGTTCTATCATTATAAGGAGCATTTTTATTATTTTTATCATTCATTCTTATTTGACTGGGCTCTTCTTCGTCGTCGTCGTACTTTACTTGCTCGCCCCCGTGCTCACATATGAAGAGTATCGGGGCGGGAGTGGGGTGTGGGGTGGCAATGATGCAATGGTGTAGTGATATTGGAGAGTGGAGTTGAGGAGTTGACAGAGGTGGAGGTGGAGGTGGAGAGGAGTCCGGAGTCTGGGGTAGGAGATGGAGGGAGGGAGAGAGCGGCCCGGGGTTGGCTAGATGGTGAATATCAATATTAGTACTGGTATAGCGGCGCATCTCATGCTATCTACTCTACTCTACGCTCAGTGTCTGGGTATAGGTCTGGTGGGTCCAGGTTGGGTGTTCGCTGAGACTTTTGAGCTTGTTGGGAGTGTTGTGCTTGTTGGGAGTGTCGGTGTCGGGATGGGGTATTCCCTCCACTCCACTCTGTCTACTCTGTTTACCAATACTGTAATGCCACGGCCGCCATAATGTCGTACTAACTATTTACTGGATAGGAGGTTTTATGTTTTAAGTTTGAGGCTTGAGGTTTGAGAGGTTGGGGATGTGTCAGCTATGCATCCAGATTTAAGTTACAGCCTACAGATTAGAGAGCAAACTTCATAATGTAAGCTTAGTCTGAGGTCACGGTTGTAGCATCGCCGGATCTCTCATAGCACGACAATGGACTCGGAGGAGGTGGTGCGTTTTTTTGCTTTTCTTGTTCCTGTTTGGTTTCTGTTAGGTTCCTATTCCACTTCTTTTCCACTTCCTTTCCTTCCTCTTCTCTTCCTTCTTCTTCTTACCACCGCTAGCCACCATCAATCATTACTACCGTAACTCAACCGTAATACCGCTGCTAACTAACCGCTGTCTGGATACCAAGTACGTATCACCGCACCACTGATCCATTGACCGAAGTCATAGCTCTAGGCCTTAGCTACATGCTATAACTCAGGCAACAGATAACCCCCATCCCATACCTCAACGCCATCAATCACGCTCACCCAAAGTCACCACGGTCATACCATACGATCCCCCGCACTTTAATGGCATAAGCTTCATGACGTCGTTTCCATCGTTCGCTCAATTCCCACAAATTCCAACGACAACTCCAGAGACGACAACTCTATCGACAATGCTCCATGTCCTATGCCATAACATCGAGTTCCACTATGCCCCAGCTCACTGGACTCTGAACCTGAGATGTCACTCCGCATTTCCGTTCTGCCTATCGCCCCGTCATTTTGTTTTTTTATGGGCCCTGAGCTGTGCTAGTTTAGTCTAGTCTATCCACCTCATTTCTGGTCCGCAACCCTTATGTAGACTCTCAGATTTTGACTGCTGTACGCAGCGTCAAGGGTCGCCGATTCCGCGTGGTGGTTCGTGATGGGCCACAGCCACGGTGATGGTATCTACACCCCAGATCCAAACCTCGAGAGTTCAACCTTCGTCCAAGTTCTTCAAGCTTGATGATTGAATGCCCGAGTGTCTAATCTATCTTCCCGATTAACTAGAGACTGAATTTTATCGTAGACTATAGCACTGGTACTCCATCAACTCCGGATATCTCGCGCTCTAGAGAGAGTGTGTGCGGCTGTTCCTGTTTTGAGTCCTTTTTCTGTTCATAGGTCTATTCCTGCTTTCTATTCTTATTCCATTTTTTTCTTCTGAATACGGGTGAAGGGATACTGTCATGAACCACCACCGGTCAAAGCCATAACACCATCCCCATTCTCATCTTCAATCCTTCAACACCGCCATCAGTCGCGGTCAATGGTTCTCACCCGATGTTACCAGCATAACCTTTATGACATCGTTTCCGTCGTTCCGTTGTTCGCTCAAATCCCCGCAATCTCATCGTTCGTTCAATCCCAACTCCAGAGACGACAACTCTATCACGTCTTATGCCAGGCTGCCATAAAATCCCGCTATGCCCCTAGACCTTAAACCCAACTACCGTCACGGTACGCTATGCGCTCCTCGACTCTGAACCCGTCACTCCGCAACTCCGCCTGGTTCTGAGCCCTGAGCTCCCTTTCTGTCCTGCGCTATGCTACTCTACCATGCCCCCCCATAAGACCCTTACCTCAGCTCTGACCCGCTACGCTGGCATTCAGACTATGACGTCGCCTCGTCAATGGAACGGTGACCGTGTGTGTAATGCATTGTAGCATTGTGGTTAGTGGGTGGCATAGCATAGTGCCGTATGCCGTTGAGGGAGGACGTCATAGCTGGGGCGTAAGTCGAGCTACTGGCACATAGTGTGGGCGTGGGCATGACGAGTGTGGGTGTGTGGGGGCATGAATTGCGGGGAAGACATGGGGAAGGGGAAACCGGGATGTTGGGGACTAGAGGCGAAGTGAGTGGGGTGGAGAGGACAGGGTATTGATGCGGATGTGGAGGAACTTGAATGAGTTAGTTTGATATCATAGTAGAGTACGAGTGCCATTTCTATCGAGTAACGTTATGTTGTAGTGTAGAATACAACATCATTTATCATTCAACCAAACCAACCCCGAATTTAATCAGAGGAAAAAGAAAAGTTCTTACGAAAAAGATGATGGCAGGATTTGGGAATGCTAAAAAGCAAAAAGATGTGCTCAGTGTGAGGCTCGAACTCACGACCTTTGGATTTCCGATTCTGAGAACCAGTCATATTCTACGATATGAGACCAACGCTCTACCAACTGAGCCAACCAAGCAACTTGTTCATGTATGAGGTTTATTTTATTACTTCTAAACTACATCAAAGAGCTGTCAACGTGTGTGAGCCCCAGCGGTACAAGCTCAGGAAGTCGACCAAAGCAGACCCAACAGCGGCAAAAGCTCGGAAAAAAGTTGCTCTCCAATACTACAGGTTTGCGGCAGACCGTGCAGTCACAGCGGTCTACTTAAAATCGATAGGAAAAAGAGACAGTGACGAATGCTGGTGGTGCGACAGACCCCGCCAGACCCGCGACCACCTGTTCAAAGAGTGTAGAACATGGAGAAGGGAGCAAGAGGGGCTCTGGAACATGCTGAGGAAAGAAGGGTTCATGAAGACGCACGCGTTGTCGACAATCTTCGGAACCCAGGGCCACTCAGGCGATACTAAAATTCATCGAAGAAACGCTGGTGGGAAGACCAAAATCAGAGGACGAGGATAGAGCCGAAGAAGACCGGGTACATGAGGAATGGGGGTGGGAGGAAGAGTATGGAGTGGAGGAGGGTATGAGCACATAGTAAAGCAAGGGAAGAAGAAACCGGTAGATGCAGGAGAGTCTAAGTGCACAGCAGTGTACAGCTCAAAAGGCGGCCACTGCAAAGGCAGCAAGGCTGGCGAGAAAATGGTTGAAAACGGATGAAACAGAGTTTTCGAGTAGATGCAGTACAACACTGCGGAAAGGGGACGCTTTGTATGTTAGTTCTCGCGCCATATCCCAAAGGGACGCATGCGCTTAAATGATTACAATCAATCAATCAATCAATCAACGTGTGTGAGTTTGCAGAGCCGAAGACCACAGTGGCCATACTCGAGTTCCTGGAAGCCACAGACATAGGGAAAGTGTACAATGAAGAAGAAAAGAACGGGCAGGAGGAAGAACGATTTGAACGCTGGGGGTGGGAGGAAGCTGGAGAACAGGAGAGTAAGGATGTGGAAACAGAAGCAGCAGACAGAGGGTGAGGGTGTGGAGGGGTTCTAGTCACAATGATTCAGAAAGAGGAGAGAAGGAGCTCGAGCGATGAAGACTGGAGCTCAACTCAAATGGCATCCCTCGCCAGAGCGAAGGGGTGGCGAGAACAAGGGTTGAAAGTGGACGAAACCAATGTACGGAATAAACCAATGTAATGGAAGCAATGGGGTGGGGGAGGGAGGAGGCTTGTAGAGTAGTTGTCGCGCCATATCCCTACGGGACGCATGCGCTAAAATGAATTCAATCAATCAATCAATCAACTTGTGTGAGTTGAGCGTTGAAGTCCGCTGGAAGCCGGAGGCTGTGGAATTAACCACTATCAGAGCGGAATATGGGGTCATAGTTAGTATATATCGCGCTGCTTGCTTCTCGTATTGCTTGTGTGTCTCAGGACACCGATCTTCGTCTTCCTTTTCACATTTGTGCCGTGCATTCAGCATCTTTTTGAGGATTTCTTCTGCTTTGGGTATCTCGCACAACCCCCGCCTATGTAATCTTACCCCACACAGAGGTTGATTTTCAAAATCATATTCCATGACTCGGACGCCGGGACGGAGGAAAGAAAGAAAGGTACTACATATACTGGCTATGCTGTGTTTGTGTGCCGTGGCGAGAGGGTATGAGGTTGGGTAGAATTACTTATTATTCTGTACTCTAGTAGGTCAGGTGTCTACATATCCCCAAGGGATGAAGGACAATAAACGAGAGTTAACAACGATACTGACTGACTAAACAAGCGGAAGGGGTAAGAAAAGAAAACAAAACAAAGGGTCTATTATATTGTAGGTATACTAAGTCTAGGTAGAGTACTATACTAGAGTAGCTTTAGGTTAGGTAGGTGGTATCAATCGCCGGTATTGACTCCCGGGGCTATATTACTACTACTATTTGTTTTGTGCAATCATGCTCTGTCTAAGGGTTTTTATCTCGCCGTCATCTCCAGTATCATAGTCTCAGTCAACTCCCTCGAGTCCTCTCCATCCGCAGCTTCCACACCGATATCTTCACCACCATCACTCAACCTTACACCCACTCCCAAAACCTCACTTCCGACTGTCTCACCCTCACCACCCACACTGTACCGGTGTCCCATCATCCCTCGCCATCTTCCAAAAGCTCTGCGCCAAAGAAATGACCATCACCACACCCCCAAACACGGCCACCGCGGCGGCCGCCCACGTCCTCCAACTCCTCGTCGCGAGCTTAATATAACACACGGCGGGTAGCACATACGCGAGCGCACACGCACTCGTCGCACCAATCAACTCAAACACGGCCCCGAGATCACACGTAATCAGACTCACACTGAGCGCACTCACCACCAGCGCCGTGCTCAATATCAAGTGTCTCGCATAGTTGAACGGTTCCCCCGGGAAATAGTATTCCTCCATGACCTCGCGGCAGACAAAGGCTTCAAGCGGGAGCGTCGTGAGCATATTGAAGCCGAAACACAGGCGCGCGATGTTGGCCATGGTGTTGGTGGAGGCGAAGTTGTTGAGGACGTTGGCGGAGGTCGTGGAGCGGAAGGTGAGGTAGCCCGCGCACGCCATGAGGATACAGAAGAGCATGGAAATGCTGGTGCTGTAGTGGGTGACGGTCGCGAAGCGGTTGAGGGTGGGAGTTTTGAGGGAGGCGTAGATGAGGAGAGAGTTGTGGTCTAGGGAAGTTAGTTGAGAGGGGTGGAAGGGGAGCAGAGATAGCATACGGCAGACGAAGGCTGGAGATGGCGGTTAGTTGAGTGGATAGCGAAGGGAGGAAGGGGACGAACCGAAGGAGATTACGCCAACTGCTTGGAAGATACCGGTGTTGATGAGTTTAATGTGATCGTTGGTGGTGTCGGGCCTTTCGGAGGCGGGAATTGATATGCCTTGGACGACGACGGTGAAGACGATGATGGCCATACTCACGAGCGCAAAGGCACTGGCTTTCGCGAGCTATGTCATCAATCATGGTCAGTCTTCTTACTCACTCCAAACGTTCTTCCCACAGCTCACCTTGGAAATATCCCGGTATAGCGTCAGCGGATACGATATCCCGAGGGTAAAGATCACAATCGCCGCTCTTCGGTTGGCCAACAAGCTCAACACGGGCACATTCTCAATCCCTGGGAACAAGGCCGTCATAACATGAGGAAAAGTATCGCCGATGATGATGCAGTATGCTATACACCCACCAAACGCGCTGTTCTCATCAGCAACCACTCCAAAGTGCTCGCCCACCGTCACTCCCAGACGTATATTAACCACCTACAATGCCCATTGTGCCACCTATCGCGGGTTCTTGCGAGTTAGCAATGTCATCTTGAACCCACAACTCCCAAGAATAGTGAAGGAGGAGTTACAGAAATCGCGACTAGTCCAGATTTGCCGAAACAGTGTTGCATGGTTGCTTGGAAGGAATCGGTGCCGCTGAGTTTGGTGTTGATGGCGATGAGTTGGATCGTCCAGTCCACCTGTAAGAGTTCTGTTAGTGACTGGACACCTCTAGGAGTGTGCGGAAACCCACGATTACGGTCAACACGACCAGCAGTATTATCCCCATCCCCAGGCCCGCCTGTCGGAATGAATATGGCATACCTGCACCCCCGGGATAGTATCAGCCATCACATCCCTCCATGTCTCCTCCCCAGTAACCCAACTCCCATCTTGCCCCTCCAACTCAACTCCCTCACCCGCAATCCCACTCACCGATAATCCCGGCGCCAATAATCGAATTCGCCATATTCATAAACGCCATCCTCATGCCACTCTTCGGTCTCTCCCGTTCCTCCAGCAGCTCCTCCATGGCCAACTCATTCCCCCTCACGATCCTCGGTGGTGTAATCCCCGTCAACAACGGCAACCTCCTCCCACTCTCCGCATCGCCATAATCCTCCTCATCATACTCATCATCAAACTGCATATAATCTTCGTCGTCCGCCCATCTTGGATCATTGTTGTACCCGTCGTCATCGGCATCGTCTTCGGAGGCCGCGCGCCGCTCCGATATGCTGATGTCCTCAATCACGGCATCGGAGTCCGAGTCGAGAGCGAAGTGAACGCGTGCAGTTGTGCGGGGCTTTGGGTTCGCGATTGGGGGTGTTGGAGGGGAGGAGAGCGAGGAGGTTGTTAGGCTGGTGTTGCTGCTGGAGGGGAGGAGGGAGTTTGTGATGAGGTCGGGGTTGCTCTTGGACATGCTTCAGGGCATTTTCCGGTTTTCGGATTAGTGAGGGAGGACTGATGAGGGGGCTGGTGGTCGGAGGCTGTGGATTCGGGGGGAAAAGAGTTTGTGGTGGTCGTGGTTTGAGGAGTTGAGGTCGGCACGGAGGTCGCTGCTGGAGGTGTTTCGTGATGCAGGGATCATCGGTCGGCAATGTGGCAGCATTGGAGGACGGCATGATTTCGGGTGATGCCGATGGCCGGTGAGAATGTTGTGGGTGAAGTGTGAAGTTATGAAGCTGTAGGAAATCCGTGTAGCCAGCCTGTAAGGCGGGAGGTGTTGATGCTCGGTCTCGGTGGTGGCTGACTGGCGGAGAGCTCAAGAGTCGGAGCTAAGGTAAAGCTCCCAATTTGTAATGCCAGCTGTCGACAGTTCTCGCAACTCCCTGATAAAGGTGCCGGTATAAATTAAACTTAAATGTGAATTTCCACTACTGACAGTCCATATCGATCAACTTGGAGCTTGAACATGGGCCGTTCTGTACACATTCTGAATTATCACTACTCTAGATTCAACCGACAGAGAAACAGAACAATCTAAGTTATACCATACACAGATCTTCTGGTGTGAAGAGTAAGAACGCCTTTTTCCAAAACCCATAGTCGTATGAAACAGAGCGGACGTAGCTAGCTGACCATATGCCAGTTTCCGCAACGGAATGTACAGACCAAAAAGAAAACTTTTATACCCCTTCCTTCTTAGCGTAAAAATCGACGACTCAACATCCGCAGCAATTCTCCTCTTCGCCTTTGACCGAGTTCGATTTGTCGCCATTGTCGAACATGTTGTTGGCTATCAAATCGCCGACGAAGATTCCCACGATGACTGTT